AACACTTTATTACACATTTAAATAAACGATAATAGTAAACTTATCTTCCTACCAACTTACTAGTACCTTTGGGAGTCCATAGGAATCCTTCATATGCGTGAACCCAATATCCAATTTATCATTTAACCGACCAACCCCGTAGTCCGTCTGGCAATGAACACCAAACATATCACCGGCTCAATACTCCGTCCAATATAAGGGTGAACTATAACTCCTAACCCCTTACAGTATGAAACTTTTTAACCCCGTTCGACTAAGATAATATTCACAGTAGGATTTTTCCTATACACTAGGTTCGTACACCATTCCCCAGGGTATCCGATAAACCTTTCATACATATATCCACATCATCAACCAATCACCCATTACATACTAACATTTCATATTTATAGATCAATAGTAAGTTATGCAAATGAATAATATAAAAATCAAGAAAACATGATTTGGACATTTGCTTCGAATCAATCAATAAGTGAGAATAATCAATCAAACAATCAATGAACAAGAAAGTAATTTAAATCAATAAATAATAGCAATTTAGACAGTATAGGGATAAATAGACAACACAACTAGAGCAAATATATACTGACCGATTCCGGTATCACTCGTGACCTGTAATTAATTTAGAAATTTTTAATTTTTATAAAACACACCATTATTAATTATTAAACTTTAATTTACCGTAACGGGAGAAAAATGTGAGAGATTCTTATCTCGGATCGGTGTTCGAAATACCATCTTTTTCACTGTGCCTCCTGATGGTTCTCGAATTTCCTAGATTTTTTCTGTGGAAATCAAAAACACGGTTACATATTCCAAAATATCTCCAAAAAAGGTTAAAATGAATATTTTTAAATTTTTTCGACCGGTTTAGAGTTCCAGCACAGTAGCGTCGCCGAGCTCCGACACCGGCTCTGCCACCCACGATAATGCTTCCTCTTAGTCTTTCCGTTTTTGGCCAGTTTTGGGCGATTTTGGCCGATTTTGCATGAAAACCTGAAAAAATACAGGGTTAGGGAGCCCCTGTTAGCCGAAAAAGGGAAGAACCGAGACCTTACCAGCATATGATTTTTTCGATGCGGCGGCTCCACCGTTCCTTTCTTACGGTCGAGGCTTCCTTTCAGCTAACCTGCAACTGAATGAGACGAGGAACACGAATGTCAAAAAAGTGAGAAAAATGGGAAACAGGAACAGGCTCTTCGGAGGAATTTTCGGATCGTAGCCGCGGCAGCTCGATTGAGATCCACTCGCATTTTCTGCCTCACTCTTTGGCCTTTTGACTCCGATATGGGTGTGGGGAGGTTCGAAATTCAATTTTAAACGGAATGAAAAAAAATTACCTTTTCAGCATCCGCGGTAGCTCCGGTTATTGTAGACGAACTCTATCAGGGGTAGGTGATCGTCCCAATCCCTCCAGAGTTTAGAACACAGGCCTTGAACATATCCTCTAGTGTGCGAATAGTTCGTTCTAACTGTTTATCTGTTTCAGGGTGGCATATTGTGCTAAGAGACAGTTTCATTCCCATTACTTGGTGAAAACTTGACCAAAACCGAGAGATGAATCTAGTGTCCCTATTTGATACCACTATCAACAGAACTCCATGTAACCTGACTATCTCCCGAATATAGATTATTTCTAACTTGTCTAAAGGATCGGTCATTCTGATGACCAAGAAGTGAGAGGATTTGGTGAGTTAGTCAACAATTATCCAGATTGCATCATGCTCCGAACGTGTCTTAAGCAACCATGTTCTCATT